TCATAATTTGGTTGTTGATAGAGAGCTTTCCTCTCTCTTAAATGTTGGGAGGAAATAAACTTGCCTGTGTTTATCTGTTATTGCATCATGTTAAAAAATACTGTAAAAGGGGCACATGGGTGCCTCAGTCGATTAAGCATCCAACTCTTGATTTTTGGCTCAGGTCATGATCTCAGGGTTGTGAGATCAAGTCCCACATTGGGCTCTGCACTGAGTGTGGAGCCTGCTTAAGATTCTATCTCTTGCTCTGTCCCTCCCCACACCCCCATTCCCTCTTCCTCCCTCTCTAAAAAAAAAAAAAAAAAAAAAAAACTATGAAAAGAATTTGTAAAGGCTAATTTGTCCTCTTTGTGATATTTCACCAGTTTAATTTATTCATAGTGAAAGAGCTTTCATCAAAATAAATGATTATATTACTGCTATTAGGATTTTTAGCTATATAGTATTATCTGTGCCTTATACTTCTCAGTTATAAATATCAGCCCTAAAAATCTACTTAAAATTTTTTCTCCTTTTGCATTTATCAGTATTCTGTCTAGAAGACATTTTGGAGCAGCCCGCGTGGCTTAGTGGTTTAGCGCCGCCTTCAGCCCAGGGTGTGATCTGGGGGACCCAGGATCGAGTCCCGCATCAGGCTCCCTGTATGGAGCCTGCTTCTCCCTCCGCCTATGTCTCTGCCTCTCTCTCTTTCTCTCTCTCTCTCTCTCATGAATGAATAAATAAAATCTTAAAAAAAATAGAAGACATTTTGACAGGTGATTAGAATAAAAAAACAGATGAATGTCTTTGCTTTTCACCAAGGGAATGAGATGCAAGTCAAATTCCTTATTAATTGCTGGAAAAAAAGATATCATTGATACCAGCATCCTAAAATGTCATTTTGGCAATTTCTAGGAATCAGCTGAATTCCATTACTCTTAGCTGTGGGCAGGCATTGGGAGCCCTTTTATGCTGCTCACCTGGGTGAAAACTGGAATGGAATACCAAGTGTTGAGACACAGGCTGCAGGAGCCTCATGGGCCTAAGTGTGGAAATCCTCCCTGCCAAGGATCTCTGTTCATGCTTTAGTTTGACTTTCATTTTACTTTATTTTGAAAAAAAAAATTTATTTCATTGGTTCTGCCTTATATGAAAGTTCACAAAAAGATGATTTTAAGTGTTTAGGAAAATTATCACTGGGATATGGAGTTGCCAGATTTAGTGTTTGGCCATGTGCACATACTTGCAGGATGCTCAATATGTGTGAAATATTGCATGGGACATATTTATACTAAAAAAATATTTATTGTTTATCTGAAATACAAATTTAACTAGACATCCATTTAATCTGGCATACCTACTAAGGTAACTTATCATTTGCCATCCAAACCAGGAGACTTTTTTTTAAAATTTTATTTATTTATGATAGTCACAGAGAGAGAGAGAGAGAGAGGCAGAGACACAGGCAGAGGGAGAAAGCAGGCTCCATGCACCGGGAGCCCGACGTGGGATTCGATCCCAGGTCTCCAGGATCGTGCCCTGGGCCAAAGGCAGGCGCCAAACCGCTGCGCCACCCAGGGATCCCCAAACCAGGAGACTTTTGAGAGTGAAGAGTGCAGTGGGGCACTTTTTAATGATTATGCCAGGACAACAGACATAAATTGGGGCTATCCCAGGAAAGCTGTAAAGTATTGTCAACCTAATTATAGGGAATTTTGAGAGAATTTTTAATTATTGGTTTAAGATTTTCATAAGTAATCACAGCTGTATGTCATTAACTTAAATAGCTATGAATTTTTGTAAATAAAGAGTATTGCCTTATAATTTTATATTAACAATTTGATTAAGTCATCGTAAAAACTATGTGGCCTAATTCATAGCTTCAACCTTGACACATTAAAGTTCTCTTTTTGGGGGGGTGGGGAAAGAGTTTTAAGAAGAATTGGTTTTTGTTTTGTTTTTTACCTAAAAAAATTTACTGGGAGTAGTCCCAGTGTAGGGCTCGAACTCATAACCCCAAGATCAAGAGTCTCATTGTCGACTGTCTGAGCCAGCCAGGTCCCCCAGTATTTATTAAATACCAATTTTAGAGAAAGTTTTCTTATTTTGTGAGTAAAAAATGAAGCTACCCCTAGTATATTAAATTTACAGTTAAAAAATCTTTTTTTAATAATAAATTTATTTTTTATTGGTGTTCAATTTGCCAACATACAGAATAACACCCAGTGCTCATCCCGTCAAGTGTCCCCCTAAGTGCCCACCACCCAGTCACCCCCATCCCCCACCCCTGCCCTCCTCCCCTTCCTTTTAAAATTTATTCATTCATTCATTCATTCATTCATTTATTCATTCATTTTACAGAGAGAGAAAGAGAGAGCACAAGCAGGGGAAGCAGAGTCCCTGTTGAGTGGGGAGCCCAGTGACCTAGGGCTTGATCCTAGGACCTTGGGATCATGACCTGAACTGAAGGCAGACACTTAACTGACTGAGCCACCTAGGCACAGATATTTTAGTTCCTTTTTTTTTTTTTTTTTTTTTAATGTGTATGTACTTTACCATTAGCAGGTATAACTTAAGATGAGAAATTCCGTGCATCTTCTGTCTGGTATTTGACTTAATTCTTCTAACCAATTTACTTCTTGTTTTGGGGGATTTAGGAAAGCCTGTCCTTCTTACTTAATTGTATAGCCTTTTATCATCTCCCCTTGCTCAGCCTAACTAACCTCATTCAGCAAATGCATCCATAAATATTTGCTACATGACAACCACTCTGTTGAGTGCTATAGTAAATGTGACATGGAATGGAACTGGTCCTATCCTCAGGCTGCTGAGAGTCTGCCCTCAATGTGGAAGTGTCTCCACAGCTTTGTATATTTCAGAGTCTTTCTCAGTCTTCTTCAGCCCCATGTGTTTTTTGAAGTATGATTATGAGTATGTCAGAAATAGGCATACCATGGTTTTGAATAGGAACTATTTGTTGTCTTACTCCATCATTTGTTCTGCTAATGCACAGGATGGTGTTATTTTTTTTTAAAGATTTTTGTTTATTCATTAATGAGAGACAGAGAGAAAGAGAGAGAGGCAGAGACACAAACAGAGGGACACGCAGGCTCCCTGCAGGGAGCCTGATTTGGGACTTGATCCCAGGACTCTGGGATCACAACCTGAACCAAAGGAAGATGCTCAACCACTGAGCCACCCAGGTATCCTTAAATGCAGAGTTTTCACAACATTGATGAGATATGTTCAGGAAACAGCTTATAACTGCTAGATAACTTTTCTGTGTTGTAATTTATGCATCAGAATAAAATTGTATCAAAGTTCAATATATTTGAGCTGCCTGGAACCTTTGAGCAATGACTTGATTCAGATAACAGTTTCCCAGGTTGTTTTACCTTTAACAAGATTAATGTCTGGTTTGTCTAAAGGAAAAAATTTCTTTAAAAGTATTTTTTTGCTTTTATTGTTTTGACTGTCAACAATTGCTTTATATTATAATCCTAGTTAATTATTTAAAAATGTACTTCCCATTGGCCTATTGTGTTATCTTGAAAAGATAAAAAATTATCTCTACTGTATACTTACATGGTAGAAGTTTATATGATACAAAAGCATATATGGTGCAGTTGTCCTTGTCTCCTAGCTACCTATTTTCCTCATAACCAGTTTTTTTAATCAGTATTTTGTATGTCCTTTCAGAGATTGCATGTACAGATATTATTTATATATTCTCTTTTTTCACAAGTAGTAATATACCATACGCACTTTGCTTTTTTCATGTAACACTATATCTTGGAGATTACTCCTTATTAGAACATAAAAAGCTATATTCTTTTTTAACAGCTGCATAATATTCCATGTTATAGGGCCTTATAATCACTTTTATTGTTTTCAGTTGTTTGCTATTATATACGGTGCTTGACGAATAGCTTCATAACATACCTCATTTTGCACATGTGATGAATGTGTATATCACTCTAAGAAGAAGAATTTCTGGGTCAAAGTACATTCATGAGTATTTGCATGCCTTATTGTTTGTCTTTAGTCTAAAGATAGTATGTATCTGTGGTAAAACTTAAAACATTTCAAACATTACAGAAAAGAATAAATTGAAAACTAAGTTTGCTAAGCTCCTAGTCCCACTTCCTAGATATAACACTTTCTTGTGATTATCAATTTGCCTGATTTTTGTTTTTTCCTTTTCCCTTTTCTTTAAAAAATATAAATGGCTTAATGATACTCCACTATCTGGATATGTCACACTTTATCCATTAATTTCCTTATTGGTGAACATTTACGATATCACCAGATATTTTTTGATACTAGTGAAGTTACAATGAAAAACCTTGTAGGTATATCTTTACATATATATCACGTGTTTTATTGAATAGATTCCTAGAATCAAGGAATACATGCATCTTAAATTTTGATTTGTTTTACTAACTGCTGTCCAAAAAGATAGTTCCACTTGATACTTCCACCAGTATATCCTTGCTAACTCTGGCTGTCATCAAGCTTTTTAATATTTACCAGTTTAGTAAGGGACAAAAACCAATCATATTCTTTTTTGAATTTCTTGTATTTAGGATTGATTTAGATAAATTGGTTATTTCTGTTAATTTTCTGTGTATTGGTATTTGTGTCCTTTACCCATTTTTGGTATCGGTTCTTTACTTTGTTATTGATTTATAAGTGTACTCTTCTACTGGGAAATTAGTCTGTGTCCATGTATGTTACAAATAATTATTTTTTCAGGTTTTCATTTTTTATCATATGTATGGTCTGTTAAATATACACAGTTTGACCCTAAGGAGATGAGGGAAAGGTGGGGATTGGTAAGAATTAATTAGTGGAGAATCCAGAGCAAACTACCAAACACTTTTTAAATAACATGACAAATTATACAGGGTTTTTATCTCTTTAGAGGAAAGATATAAATAAAAGAGTGTACAATATTTAGTTTGTATGAAGTGTAATAACCATACTACAGATATATATGTTCTTTATATTTTTCCCTCCAGAGGTTTTATCAGCTATGATTAGTGTGCTATTGGTGTATATACTTATGGGATTCCTCCTATATGAAGCTGTCCAAAGAACTATCCATATGAAATATGAAATAAATGGAGATATAATGCTCATCACTGCAGCAGTTGGAGTTGCTGTTAATGTAATGTAAGCTCTATTTTAAAAAAAATTAATAGCTTTATTTTTTAGAACAGTTTAGGTTCACACCAAAATTGAGCAGAAAGTGCAGATTTCCCGTATACCCCTGCCTTGACACATGCATAGATAGCTTCCCCCATTATAAACATCCTCCATCACAGTGATACCTTTGTTACAGTTGATAAACCAGCATTAACACATTACCACACAGCATCCTTAGTTTACATTCGGGTTCATTCTCTTATTGTTGTATAGTCTATGGGTTTGGACAATTTTGTAATGACATGTATATACCATTATGGTATCATATACTCTATATTGTTTTCACATTAATATTTTTAAGTACTGTAAACTTAGAGACTATTATACATGCATTAGGTAATGTTCAGTGGTATTTTTATGTATTTTAAAATTATATAGTACATTAACTTTTCTTAACAAAACACTGATGGAATTATAAATTTCTCATTAGTTTGCTCAGTTATACTGAAGTTTGACTAACAACTTGGAACTTAAGTGGGACAAAGTTTTTAACTTTTACTTTTATATAAATAAGATTTTTTTTAACTATAAACTTTTTCCCTAAAAGCTATGAAATTTTTAGGTTATATGATTATTTGGACCAGCAGTCAGCAAACTTTTAATGTAAAGGGCCAGATAGTAACCACTGTAGACTTTGAGAGTCATGCAGTCTCTTTTCCAGCTAGTCAGTTCTGTTGTTATAGAACAAAAGCAGCCACATTTAGTATGTAAATAAATGAGCACATCTGTGTCCCAATAAAACTTGGGCCTGTTTGCCAATCCCTTTCCTATTGGCTTCCATTCCTACTTAAAATAAAATAAATACAAATCAAAGTCCTTAATTTGTTAATAAGATACTGTGTACCTCTCTAACTCACCCTAGCATTCTTGCTCACTTTAGTCAGTCAATGGCTGTCTTGCTTTTTTGAAACACACAGAGCACATTTTCATCTAAGGGCCTTTGCCCTGGTATTCCTTCTGCCTAGAACACCCTTTCACCACCACATGCTTCCTGATTTGATTCAAGTCTCTGCTCAGATAGAATCTCAGGCTTTCTCTGACTGACTGCACTCCCCAGCACTCTCCATCCCCTCTCGATACTTTACTTTTCTTCAAAACATTTGCATTGTCTGGCAGTATATTATGTATTTATTTGTTTACTTCTCTGCCTTCTCTTCTAGAATATAAGCTCTATGGGGATAGGGATATGTCTGTTTTATTCACTGTTTTGACTCCAGTACCTAGGATAGTACCTGATACATACTAGCTGCTTATGTATATATATATATATATATATATATATATATATATATATATATATATAAAATGAATGAGTTCCTTGTTGCCTCATTAGTATCTGATTTATCTGATTTGTAACAAATATTTTTAATCAATAATACTAGGAAAAATAATAATGTTTTTTTATTTTTGACAGAATGGGGTTTCTGTTGAACCAGTCTGGTCACCATGCCCATTCCCACTCCCTGCCTTCAAATTCTCCTACCATAGGTTCTGGGTGTAGACACAACCATGGGCAGGACAGCCTGGCAGTGAGAGCTGCATTTGTACATGCCTTGGGAGATTTGGTACAGAGTGTTGGTGTACTAATAGCTGCATACATCATAAGATTCAAGGTAACAAGATTGCTCATTTTTCTATCTTAAAATATATTTCATTTCAATATTAAAACTAAAGGTAATTGTCTTTTGTCAGTATACTGGACACCAAAGCCAGTTCTTACTCATTTTGCATTTAGGTAGGCTTAATTGAGCCATCAGTATAGTCCTTTTGCTAGCACTAAACACAATAGTATCATTTCACAGAGTAACTTATCTGTAGCTGGCTTCCATACTGCCTTCACTGGAGAACTCAATTTTAAGCCACATCACTGAACTGCTAGGTACTGGAATGTGTGCTGGACTAGAAATCCAGAGATTTGGGTTCTAGTTTTGGCTCTGCCATTAATGCTTTGACTTTGAGCAAGTCCCTCCTTTTTTATGTGAGAGGCTTAGACGAGATATGTGGCTGCTAAAACTCCTTCCAGCTCTCATATTTTATGGTTCTGGGTGGAAGATTTAGAGAAGTGACAAAGGAAAACAGAATAAATGGTTAAACTTCTGGAAATAGGTCTTAGGAAGAAAGGCATTTAAACAATTCTAGGAAAGAGTGAAGATGTTTCTCAATTACAGTATTTAAAATTAAAGGTATTCTTCAGTGCTAGTATAGAAGGCTAAGGAACAGGAGACAGAGTATGGCTAGCTTTGCTTTACGGTGTTTTATGTCGGTCTGTATTTAATCACACAATTTTGACCTCTCATCTTTCAGCCAGAATATAAGATTGCTGATCCCATTTGTACATATGTATTTTCATTACTTGTGGCTTTTACAACATTTCGCATCATATGGGACACGATAGTTATAATACTAGAAGGTAAGATCTCACTAATATCCCCTTTGTGATTTTATTACCTCCTAAATCAGATAGGGGGTGGGGGGACACCCTAGGATAAGAGTCCATGTCTTTTCCTTTCTCTTTACTGATGCTTATTAGGCTATATAGTAACACTACTTTATGTGTATATAACATAATTGATGTACTCTCCCCTCTGTTACCCATTTGATCCTTATAATAGCCAAGAAAAGTAGGTAAGGTGGACATTATCCCCATTTACCAACAAATTGAAATTGAGTTACAGAGGGGTAACATAACTTGCTTACTCAAGTTGATTGAGCAGGTAATGCTGCTAATAAACTGTGGTGTTAGATCAAAAATAAAACTCTTTTGATTTTTAATACATTTATGTTTAGTGGTTTATTAATTCCTTAATTCCCATTTAACCTGCTACTTTGTTGTATTTTCAACATCCCTACTTACTGATATTATGTATAAGTATGTAAGTTGTCAACAATACGTTCATCATCATTGGATGTTCCTTTTTCTTTCTTTCTGTTATGTCTGTCGTAGCTTATTAAGTGAAGTATTCAAGTTTGATATTTCTTTTTAGCAAAAACGAACATTTTAAAAATTAGTTATTAACCTCTTATACATATCTTTATGTGTGCATGGTTTATCTTAAAGTTATAGGTATTTTTGAGTGTCCATTTAAACTGAATTTGGTAAAGCCATTTGGTTTCTTTGGGGAAAAAAAGTTCCATCAGAAATGTATAACTTTCTTCCCCAAAATAAACTTTACTCATAAATATATATTCTGAACTAATAGGTGTACCAAGCCATTTGAATGTAGACTATATCAAAGAAGCTTTGATGAAAATAGAAGATGTATATTCCGTGGAAGATTTAAATATCTGGTCTCTCACTTCAGGAAAACCTACTGCCATAGTACACATACAGCTAAGTATGTTGCTGACAATAAATGCTGGGGTTGGTGGACTTTATCTGTGGAATTAAACATATGTGCTTATAATTAAGTAGGAAGACTTGTCTGCTGGAAAGATTTACCTTAAGGGAGGGGTCAGGCTTTTCAAAAGGTGAGTTGCAGATCAATAGTAACAGCAGAGCAATAATTTTCGATCTCTGAGATGAGACATTACAAATTGATTTTTGCCTTCAGATTAAGGCATGAAGTATATTTACCATGCTTTTTCTAGATAAGAAAAGCTAGATCTGTTTTTACTTCCTAAAGTCATTTCACAGATTGATGTTTCTTATTTATCAAAATATTAAAAAGTACAAAAGCCAAAAGACTTGTAATTGATGTCTAGTATTCTTTCTCTACCTGAGAGTGGACTGGAGGATTTTGAATAATGAGAAAGCCATCCTGGCTTTGGAAACTGGCATACTTCTCTAACAGTGGCTTCAGGACAGGAGAAATCAAACTAATTAAAATAGGTTCACTGTATACTAAGTTTGTTATTTCCCTGTATCATTGTAACTATGTACAATGAATAGTAATGATATTTTCTTGACATTGCAGTTCCTGGAAGTTCATCTAAATGGGAGGAAGTACAGTCCAAAGCAAAGCATTTATTATTGAACACATTTGGCATGTATAAATGTACTATTCAGCTTCAAAGTTACAGGCAAGAAGTGGACAGAACTTGTGCACATTGTCAGAGTTCCAGTCCTTAATTTTATACATCTTGGGGACTACTGCCTATTGATCCTGCAGTCACAGACCTGAGAGCAATAACCGCGCACACCTGAATGAGAAAATGGAATCCCTGACAGCTGTGTCCATATCAAGCACCAGTCTTTCAAAACAATCACTTCAGCCTGACAGTACTAGTTTCTGCTTAATGGTAAAAATGAGACTTCACCATGATTTTCAGATGAAGATGTTTCCAGAACACTACAGAATAAGATGTGACTCTACAGATACCTCAAAGAAGACAATCCGAGACCATACTTCATTCATTATGACAGAGTACGTGTCTTAAAGGAAGCATCAAGAATTCAGTATTTGCATTTAAAAATTCTTTTTAAAGACCATTTTTTATCAAGCCAGTGCTGGAAAACTGAATTTTTTTTATTATGTAATCTTGACATCCAGCTTCTGGAATTTGACACCCAGCTCTCTTTTTACAGAAATTATTTCTCAACAGATTTCAGAGAGTACTAGAAATTATCCAGAGAGTGGAATAAGCATGTATTCCCCCTGTTTCAGAAATGTCTTATTTCACAAATAATGTTTTTGTTAGAGTTATACTTTATAAACAGTTTTTTTCAGATGTTACAGGGTTTTGCATCTCAACGTTAACATTTTTTGGTTATTTGTAACCTTAATCAGAACCAAATCTTTATGTATTGTGGTCCCTGTCATTAGGAATACTTAGGAAATATTTTCAGTACTATCCTGAAAGGCAGAAGTTCATCTTAAATTCAAGTTATGATATGATAATATAAAACAAAATATAGGAGTAAGGATGGAGTGTGGAATGTCAGATTTTAAGTCTTCCTGAAATCACTTTTATTGTTCATGGAATTATCTTTACTTAAGAATAGGAGGAGATTGCAAAATGTAAACAGTGATCCTCTGCCCTTTTAAGAACTAAAAGTTTGCTTGGTACCTTGCTTCAGGCCTCCTGCCCAGTTAGTCTGTTTGTGCCCTTTCAGGGTAAAACTCTGGAGGACTGAGGTTCAGTTTGTAATGCCCATCTTTCCCCGTGTAGATTAACCACATTCCTCCAGAGAGATTTTCTCTTTGATGATAAGGGTTAGGGATTCTCCATGGACTCCAGAAACCCTAAGATACAATCTTGAGGTTTTCCAATAATACCACAGCAGAAATGCCCAAAGAGATGGGGAGAAGACATTACTCGGGGCGGGGGCGGGGAATGTCAAGGGTTTTTGACCTAGTGTTTGTGTTTTTTAAAGCAGGGGAATAGGGATAGACATTCAGTCTGTGGTGTAGGGAGGCTAAACATGAAACTCCAAACTGAATGTAACCTAATTGGTAACAGTTGTGTTAAAGAGGCAGCTGTGAATACTCATGTTCCATTTTGCCACTGTTGGTTTTGAGATTATCTTTATGCACTTTAGGAGTCCATTTTCACAGGGACAGTTTCTTAACCAAGAATGGATATGGTTCTTGGGATCCTCAGAAAATCAGAGCAAAGTACAGTGTACCAGACAGACAAGTTGTGAATTGAAAGCCTACATAAACATGCACATGATTTATAATATCAAAAAAGGGTGAAAAACAGATTTTCTTTCTACCAAGTACCTCACTATAAGTAAACTGAAGAGAAAACCTGAATTTACCTGAATTTATATGAAAGACAAATAGGAATAAATGAGAAGCATCTCAGTGGACATCTGGGCATTTATGGACTTTGGGTACCTAGCAAGAAAAAGGAAGAGAGTATGCATTATATGCGAATGGTTTTCCATATTTGCAGCTGTTTCCCATGTCCCCTGAGCTTATTTCTTGTAAACTTTCCTATATCTTAGATTAAGTATATCTTAATTTTCATACTGACCTGTTCCTTGAAAAGTTACTTGATAAAACAGTCTAAAATCCATTTGAGGAAAAAAAAAAGGAGCCTTTTGTAAAATGCAGAATCACTGAAAACTTCTATAAATCCTAATGACCACGTTCTATTTAAAGTGAAGTACATATGAAGTCTCCTGCCTTTGTCTTTTGTAGCAAGGATTACAGATTTTGTACTTACTGGGTCTGTGAGACAGAATTGATAGATGTCACTTTTTGTAACTTGACAAGACCCAGGAAGAAGGATGTGAATTTAGCAGATAAGACCAGGGACTGGTCTGCCTCTGATAAGGAGCCTTGGGTGTGTCCCTCACCTGCTGAGCTGCAACCCTGAGTTACAGCCCTCAGCCAGCCCTCACAAGGGAGAGTTGTCCACTGACCTATGACAAGCGGTGGTAACTATGGATGAACACCTAGCATGGTTACTTTTGCACTGGGAGGACAGATCACAGCATAAAAACTGGGCAGTTCTTCAGTGTGGTGTATTGTAATTAACATTTGCAAATAATCAGAGTTACTTATGTACATAAAACGTGTTTCACAGCTCTGGCTAGAGGCAGCATTTTGATTTATTTTAGGGAAAACCCTATTTTTCATTAATAACTACGCTGCCTTAGAAATCTAATATGAGAAATACAGTGGAATAAGGCATCTTTATGGCATCAGAGGGCTATGAAATGCAAAACCACAAGCAAGCAGAATTCCTACACACTTTCCATTAGTTGTGCCTTATGTGATGCAAGCCCAGATTTTTGCAGCTTGCAGCTCTCATCAGTATTGTTTGTCAAATCACAGGATCTCTTATTTTACCTTTCTCTTTTCAAATTTTGGTACTTTATTTCCATTTTCTAAAACTATCCTGCTCTTAAATGTCTCAGTGTTCTGGTTCTGTCTCTTGAACCCAGGTGTCCTCACTGACACTGTTTGTCTTTAGTAGAACTTTCCCAGAATAGACACAGGCGAGATTAGATACATGAGCTTCCCTTTCATTTTAATGTGAGGAAAACGATCTTTCAGAAAAACAAAGCACCACTTGTAAAATGTATTTCTAGGGGTAAGGAAGAACCTTTTGTTTTGTTTTGTTTTTGTTTTTTGTTTTGTTTTGGTTTGTTTTTTTAACAGCTGCTTGTTTCTGATCCAAATTTCTTTGCACATTGAGCTTTACAGAGTAAGTGTGATAGGAATGGTCTACACTATACAACCATGACTGAAGATCATTTCTAAGAAGACTCTGGGTTGTGTTTCTCCAGCAACCACTCTTCTGAAACAAGCACAATTACCTAAATTTTCCTTTCTTCCTTTTTCTTTCAAGTGTGGAGCTTAAACTTAAGACCCTGAGGTCAAGACCTGAGACACCCAGGCACCCCTAAATTTATTTTCTCTCTATGAATTTATATAAATTGGTTCACCATAATGAATAGTGTGCCCTTACCGAATTTGAACCCCTTTGGAATAAGGTTTTAGGTAATTTTGCTGTTGACTCCACCTTACATCTAGTAAATTTAAAGTTACAGTATGTGTTAATAGATATAAAATTAGTTCATTTGGCTCAGTTTGTCTTTAAACCACACTTAGCTTATGAGCCAGTTGGGTATTAGTCACAAATGAATAATAACTCCTTGCTATGCTGCGTTGAGGGGAGGTGAGTCTGATTTCCAAATGATTAAGTTTTATTTCTAAGTATAGATATGTCATGTGAGTCTTGCCAGACAGGGTATCCAATTTATTTTACAGCTCACCAATCAGGGATATTTTTTGTGATGTTGGTAGGTACCTGCAAATTAGAAGAAATTGTCATGGGAGTTCGTCAGTATTGTGTATGTGCATTCAGGCCATCCCGTCACTGATTTCTCACTTACAAAGGGTTTACCCTGTTCTTATCATATTGTGAGGACCAATGAACATTTTCTGATTTTTGGTAAGACTGGAAAACCTTTACGGAGACTTCCCCAATTAAATCTGTGCCAGTATCAATTTATAATAATGTAATTAAGTATATTTTGAAGTAATTGCAACACAAAATTGAAATGGCCAGTAGTATGTCAGCTTTGCACCTGGAAGATACTGTATATTTGGAAAGCTTTTGCTTATCTAAAAAAAATAATGTTATTAAGTAAGCCATATCACAGTTTAAGAAATTGTATATAATTTTCCATTTGCCCTTTCAGAAACCAGGTATTTTGCATATGATTGATTTTAGGAAGATTTTGAAGCTGGGGTTTGCCCTTGTAATTTAAGATCAAAGTATAACATATGTATATGTACTGTATTTGCAATTTTCAAATTGTAATTTCCTATACATTTATTAAATAAAGTATTGTTTTGCTGTGTGGTTTATTAAAAAATGAAAATCTACAATCCCCCTTAAATCTCTGAGTTTTTTTTATTAAATAATAGCAGTAGGCCTTAAAACATCATAATAATCTCAAAAAGCATTCAAAGTAGATTGTAACCTAACTAGTTATATCAACTCAGATGGTAACACCCTCTGAGATGTTTAAGAAATGTGAAAAAAAAAATCCAGATAAGGAAAAAAAATATTAAAAGAATCTAACTTTCTCTGTCACTTTCAATATCCCTGCAGCCCCAGGCCAGGAACAGTGGCAGAAAGGCAAGAGCAAGGCTTCTGCTAAAGATTGGTGAGGGCCTTCGTGAGATCTGAGTGTCACGACAGGGTGACCCTCCAGTAGTGTAGACAAGGGGTCTCACACTGTGCCTCACGAGCCAGTTCTGTCCTGCAGCCTGTTTTATATGGCCCAAGGAGCTGAAAATGGTTTTTATATTTCTTATGGCTAAAAAAAAAAATCAGAAGAAAATGATGTGAAAATTATGTTGAACTTTACATTTCAGAGTAAAAATGTTCCTCACACACAACCATGCTCACGTGATCATGTATTGTCCGTGACTGCTCCAATGCTGCAGTGGAAGAGTTGAGGACTTGGGACGAATATGAAATATTTACTGTCTGACCATTTATAAGAAAAGTTTGCGCACCCCTGGCATACACTGTTGTATTATTTTAAGGCTATAATAGCATATTATGGGTGCAGCAGACTTCTAGATCCTGCTTGGAAGCTTCTGAGACTGGCCAATCTGAAGGCCATCTGAGCCATCAAAGGTTCTTTACCTCTCCTTATCTTTTTTCTTTTCTATATCCTCCTTGGAGTTTGGGGCAGAAAGAGGAAAAGAATAGCAAGATTTCAAACGTGTGCCATATGTCCTAATGTTTACTAGCAAAGCAGTTTTCTACTCCAGGATCATTTAAGAATACTTTCAGAAGGGGTGCCTGGGTGGCTCAGTTAAGTGTCCAACTCTTGATTTCAGGTTGTGATTTCAGGGTAATTCGATCCTAAAAAAAATACTTTTCAATATAAAGGTTTATTTACTTGATTTTTAAATTTTCACTTAAGTTATGACAAAAAAGGGAAATTAAAATGTATATCAAGTACTTTGTGTAGTTTGTGCCACCTGGTAGCTCACAAGTGAAAAATAACATTTTATCTGCTAAATAAGATGAAAATCGGTTATTGGGCTGGCTGGCAGGCTGGCTTGTTTGTTTATTTGAAAGATTTATTTATTCATGAGAGGCAGAGGGAGGAGAGGCAAGCTCCATGCAAGGAGCCTGATGTGGGACTCTAACCCAGGACTCTGAGATCACACCCTGAGCCAAAGGCAGATGCTCAACCATCGAGCCACCCAGGTGTCCCAAGGGCTTTTAAAATATGTTCTTTAAAGTTTTTGAGTCACCCAGGGAGAGATACATCTATTTTTGAAAATAGTAATGGAAAGTTCCCTCTATCCCTATACTCTGAAGAGTTTTGATCAGGAATGGATGCTGTATTTTGTCAAATGCTTTCTCTGCATCTAATGAGAGGATCATATGGTTCTTGGTTTTTCTCTTGCTGATATGATGAATCACATTGATTGTTTTACGAGTGTTGAACCAGCCTTGCATCCCAGGGATAAATCCTACTTGGTCATGGTGAATAATTTTCTTAATGTGTTGTTGGATCCTATTGGCTAGTATCTTGTTGAGAATTTTTGCATCCATGTTCATCAGGGATATTGGTCTGTAATTCTCCTTTTTGGTGGGGTCTTTGTCTGGTTTTGGAATTAAGGTGATGCTGGCCTCATAGAATGAATTTGGAAGTACTCCATCTCTTTCTATCTTTCCAAACAGCCTTAGTAGAATAGGTATGATTTCTTCTTTAAACGTTTGATAGAATTCCCCTGGGAAGCCATCTGGCCCTGGACTCTTGTGTCTTGGGAGGTTTTTGATGACTTCTTCAATTTCCTCCCTGGTTATTGGCCTGTTCAGGTTTTCTATTTCTTCCTGCTCCAGTTTTGGTAGTTTGTGGCTTTCCAGGAATGCGTCCATTTCTTCTAGATTGCCTAATTTATTGGCGTACAGCTGTTCATAATATGTTTTTAAAATCGTTTGTATTTCCTTGGTGTTGGTAGTGATCTCTCATTTCTCATTCATGATTTTATTAATTTGAGTCTTCTCTCTCTTCTTTTTAATAAGGTTGACTAATGGTTTATCTATCTTATTCTTTCAAAGAACCAACTCCTGGTTCTATTGATCTGTTCCACAGTTCTTCTGGTCTCAATTTCGTTGAGTTCTGCTCGAATTTTAATTAACTCTCTTTTGCTGGGCGTCGGGTCGATTTGCTGCTTCTTCTCTAGCTCCTTTATGTGTAAGGTTAGCTTTTGTATTTGAGTTCTTTCCAGTTTTTGAATGGATGCTTGTATTGCGATGTATTTCCCCCTCAGGACTGCTTTTGCTGCATCCCAAAGATTTTGAACAGTTGTATCTTCATTCTCATTAGTTTCCATGAATCTTTTTAATTCTTCCTTAATTTCCTGGTTGACCCTGTGGAAGGAGCCTCGGTGCCCATCGAAAGATGAATGGATAAAGAAGATGTGGTTTATGTATACAATGGAATATTACTCAGCCATTAGAAACAACAAATACCCACCATTTGCTTCAACGTGGATGGAACTGGAGGGTATTATGCTGAGTGAAGTAAGTCAATCGGAGAAGGACAAACAGTGTATGTTCTCACTCATTTGGGGAATATGAATAATAGTGAAGGGGAATATAAGGGAAGGGAGAAGAAATGTGTGGGAGATATCAGAAAGGGACACAGAACATAAAGACTTCTAACTCTGGGAAATGAACTAGGGGTGGTGGAAGGGGAGGAGGGCGGGAGGTGGGGGTGAATGGGTGACGGGCACGGAGGGGGACACTTGACGGGATGAGCACTGGGTGTTATACTGTATGTTGGTAAATTGAACACCAATAAAAATTAATTTATAAAAAAGAAAATAGTAATGGAATCTAGTTTTAGATAAGTTATACTAGATAGGTGTTACATATTATTTACTTAGCTAGATCTATCTAAAATGTGTGAGTTTTTATTTTTTTTTGGTCCATGTCAGATGCTAAAATGAATTCTAAGTTGGGGTAACAGCGTTACAAACTGTTATTTATGCCAAATTTTCAGTTTTATTTAATATATTAGTAAAATATTTCTTGGTTATAATTCAATTCCAACTATGATATATTATAATTCCTGTAAACTATGAAATAGCTTAAGTAGGAAGTATGAAGCCGGGGATCCCTGGGTGGCGCAGCGTTTGGCGCCTGCCTTTGGCCCAGGGCACGATCCTGGAGACCTGGGATCAGGTCCCACGTCGGGCTCCCGGTGCAGGGAGCCTGCTTCTCCCTCTGCCTGTGTCTCTGCCTCTCTCTCTCTCTCTGTGACTATCATAAATAAATAAATAAAAATTAAAAAAAAAAGGAAGTATGAAGCCTTCTGACTAAATATTATCTCTACATAAATCATGTGTTTAAGATTAGGAGGTTTAAAAATCCAGCCTCAGTGAAATATCACCAAAGATCTCATCATTTTCAAGCAACGTTCTGGTTTAAGGCTCTCGTGTGACTTATAGAACAGTGAACTATGAAGTTTGGCCTATGGGAATTACCCAATAAACATGAAGAGGATACTGTGTAACTTACCAAATAGCTTCCATGTCTCCTTTCCTGAACTTTTCAAAAATTCATTCTGGTTTGACTTTCAAATTCCTTTTTTTTTTTTTTTAATTTTATTTATTCATGAGAGACACATACAGAGGCAGAGACACAGGCAGGGAGACAAGCAGGCTCCATGCAGGGAGCCCGATGCGGGACTTGATCCTGGGACTGCAGGATCATGTCCCGGGCCAAAGGCAGACACTCAACCACTGAGCCATCCAGGCGTCCCAACTTTCAAATTCCTATTGTCTATGTTTTACTTGCCAGTTTCTGCATATTAGTTTGTGGGGTTTTGTTGGGTTTGGGGTTTTCTTTGTTTTAGCACTTCTGTTCCCTTTAACAAAATGCCATGGAAAAAGTGTGTGGGGGTTAGTTTTTCTACAAAATATATTGAGCTATTTCTTGGTAAGAAAGTAGGATTTTTTTTTTTTTTTTAATGAAAATTTTCAGAGACCCCATGAATGTAAGGCCAGCCCTGGAGCAAGACAGATCACCTCTGTTCCCTTGACTTTCTTAGGATTGCAGATCTGACCCCACCCCCACCCTCCTCCATTATCTTTCCTTCCTTCCAGAGGAATCCAGCTGGCAGCAGGATATATGCCTCAGACAGTGGATTTATGGCCTGGCATGAAGAAATGGGGTGAAGATGAGAGTTTCCTGGACTTCTATTCATTAAAACATAAAACCTGTGAAGGCTACAGGCAAATCCTAGTTCCAACAGGCTCCTTTTTTTTTTTTTTTTTTTTTTTATTTATTCATGAGAGACACAGAGGGACAGAGACATAGGCAGAGGGAGAAGCAGGTTTGTGCATGGAGCCTGATGTGGGACACGATCCTGGAACTACAGGATCACACCCTGAGCCAAAGACAGACTCAACCACTGAGCCACACAGGCATCCGCCAACAGGCTCTTAATCACTTTATAGTCTGGCTGGAGTTCAGCATTATCTGAATACAATCCCATTCCATCCTGTCTTTGCTTTTTTGTGTAAAGTCCAGCATATTTTTTAAAGCTCTAAGACAAAATATTACATAATTTACAGTGTTTTAGCCATTTATATATATACATATATATAATATATATGTATATATATTATATATATAAATATATTTGGTTTGAGAAACATTCTCATGATACCAGTAACTGAAATTGGGATATTTCAAAAAGTTGATTTAATTTTTGGAATTTTTTTACAAGGTATATTGAGACTACCTCCAGATGCTATTCATTTTATAATCTTATAATTGTTCTTTGAAGATCACCTCCCTCCCACTGAACATATTATAGATTATAACACAAAATTCCTATG